TAACAGAGCTTTAGTGACCACAAGGTCACAAGTTCGATCATCGCCATTCTCCACTTTTAAGTGGAATTAAAATAAGCACAAGGTAAAGCCAAAAACATTGGGTGTGTGTAATATCCATACTTCAAGCTCTTGTGTAAGGGGTGTGATAGAGAATAATATAAATCATTAAAAAGGGCCTCACCCAATACCTTAAGATTTTGGGTTGAGATGATTCTTTACACAACATGAGAAACATTAATTTTTTATATAATTAAAAGAAGGGATAGGTTATTCTTCCTACTCTTATTTTGCCTACCCCTTTCAATACCATTAGATTACAATCTTATCCCATGGTGGAGTTTTACTATATAAAATAAACTCTTTTACTCCTTTCTCTCTCTCTCTCACTCCTCTCATTCTTTCTATCTCCTCTCATTTCTCTCTCTTTAATGGCGCTTCTGCATCAAAAAAAGGTGCAAGCTTTTTTCTCAATTCATCCAACCCAGTCATTATTATGAGCATTTACATAAAAAATTGAAAAGAGATGTCAAGAAGAAACAAACCCGGATGCCCTATGTTATAGAATCAGGTATGTCTGTTGTTGGGCGTAACATAGAGAGAACATAGATTATTTCCCCACTTCAAGGGGAAAAATAAGATAAGAATAAGGAGATAAGTTGATTTGATTTCAAATTTCAACAGCAAAGTAAAAACGTCACTGTAATCATGGATTAATTCAAAGGAAGGGATGCTTCGTGGTTTTTTTTTTTTTTTTGTATTTTTGTGGTTTCTGCCATGTTTAATTATATCAGATTCAAGGAATTTTGAAAATTATATTCATCCAGCAGAATTATCATGCCATTAATCATTGATTGGATTTAGATTCAAATATAAATTTAGATTATAAATTACGCAAATTGATAGAGAGAAAGGGAAGGAGAGAGAAAGAGTGTGGGAGGTAGTAAGGAGAAAGAAAGGGGAAAATATTTATTTTATTCCGCAAATCTCCACCATTAGATGAAATTGTAATCTAACGATGTTAAAAGAGATAGACAAAGGTAAGCAAAATAAGAGTAGACAGAATAACTTATTCCTTAAAAGAAATAGTTGTCTATTATACAGAAAATATAATGTATGTGCTTCATCCTGCATTCGAAACTCTAGTTGTTGGAATTATTTATAGTCGAACCTCCGTAGTTTCTTTAGTTTAAAACAAAACCAACACTTCATTTAAAAAAAAGTAATAAAAGAATTTACTAATTTCTCTTTTTAAGTTAACTTAATCACCTAGGATATACAAAATAGAATAAAATAAACTGATTTCCAACCAAGTCATCTGCACACAAGCCAAATACCAACGCCCCAAACAAAAATATAAGATGTCAATTCTATAAAAATTAATGTTCATAGACTGAAAAGGACCCTTTTAATTAACAGCAAAAGAGGTTACCCAAAAAAAAAAAATAGCAGCAAAAGAGAATCTTAGTGACCTGTGGGGATTACTAAGCTATGAAGGTTGCCTTCAATGAAATGAATTTCATGTCTCTTTTATTCTTGGATAGGTATGTCTGTCATTAGATGAAGACACATCAATAACTTTATATTATATTTTTAAGTCATGAACTAATTATTTCAAAAGCTTAAATCATTAATTAGGTTAAGATATATAAACGATTTTGTATTACATTTTTTGCTTTAATATTTTTACAGTGAATGTAGATAAGTTATCTATATTCACTTCCAAAATAACGTCGTTTTGAGTTGAAAAATTATAATAAGAAGGACTATTATAACCCTGAAATAAATTATAATTATAAAAATATTTTGATTTTCGTCCCAAGACGACGTCGTTTTGGGTTCAATGTAGATAACTACATGGTCTTCCATTCAAGTTATATATCTAACATAATTACAACCTCACTTATTTAATAAAAATCAATTTATTTCAAGGAATTCGATATTTATATATATGATTATTAACAACGTTAACAAGCTGAATGTCTAATTCTAATACAAAGATGAATTCCTTATTAAGTAGTACTGTACGTTAATCGTCATATTTTTTCATGTTCTTTGAATCGATCACCTTTTTTATCTAAAGCAAAATTTATAGTAGAAAAAAAAATTAGGAGGTGGGAAGAGTCGTGAATCCATCACTTACTATGATTATGATGGTTTACATCTCACACTATATATGTACAGAACCCATAATGAATTTTACGAGTGCCATAGACGATTATAACTCAAGTTTGTTCATTCTAGATTCGTAGGCACTGTGCCCATACAAAGATATTTCCAGAAAATTAAAGAGAAATACTGTTCACAAACGGAGAAAAAAAAATTTATTCAAAAATCCAGATTTTCAAAATTATAATTTTTACATTCAATTTACGATAATATCAAAAAATATAAAATTTAGAAAAATTTAATTTTTTGATAATCCTGAAAAATTTCGCATACCAAACACCTCCTAAGGACTTAGGAATACAAATGGACTATGTTGTTTTCGGTTTAGACCAAACTCAAACTTAACCCGACAATTTTTTAATATCCCCTAAAATCAAACTAACCTAAATTAAAATGTTCACGGTCGGATTTTACCTTAACCATGACAAATACAGTTAAATTAGTTTGTTGAGCTAGGTCTTCAATTCATATTTATGGTCTAAATCAAACTAACCTAAATTAAAATGTTCACGGTCGGATTTTACCTTAACCATGACAAATACAGTTAAATTAGTTTGTTGAGTTAGGTCTTCAATTCATATTTATGGTCTATAATGTTGTACATAATTTGGTCACGGTAATTCTCTGAAAGTTAACGTTACTAAATTATTGCATGTTTAAAAAGAAAATCTCATAATGTATTTTTATGCAAAAATCAAATAGCAAATTATAAGACTAAGAGAGAATTATTCATCATATGACCTTTTTCTTACAAATAAAAGTATAAAAAGATAGGATCAATGTTGGTCATTTAAAGATTAAGATATATGACAAGCTTTATTGAATAAGATTATATTAATGGAAATACTATTCTTTTGTCGCAGAAATAATAAATAGTATTTTCTGTTGACAGATTAAAAATTGAGTTTCTTTTTCTTTTCTTTTTTTTTTTTTTAGAAAATAATGGAGTCCATTGATATTTATGTGTGCAGGAAAACTCACTTATCAACTATCACGTAAGAAAACTAAATCCGTTAGATTAAATTCATAATGTAAAAGTATCACTTGGCGCAGACACAAAAGCAATGAATGGGGGTTAAGGAATTTTGAGGAGATCTCTTAGGTGAAGAAAGCAATGGGGGCCGAGGACATTGATAGGTAGTAATCCATTTGTGTGGGTCACATCATAGCTTTGTATGAAGTTGCATGAGAAGGAAGAAACAGTGATATCGATGGCAATTAAAGTGCCTGTCTATTTGGGTAGTAAATTTTGAGAATTATTATAGTGCATCATCTCCTATTAAAATTGAAAATAAATATAGTTAAATATTTGGACCGACCCCTTGCTTGCATGACATGAGGGAGTGTGCCGCTACTCTCCCTCATTACCCTTTCTATCTCATTTTCATCCCACTTTTGTGGGTGCCAGTGTGTCCCTGGCTTTTATTTGACGCTTAAGTCAACTATATATACTGATCTATTCATGAAAGCTATATAGGAAAAATTATAAATCATCATTTCTAATAAAAATATAGAAAATGAAGAAATAATTAAATTATAGTAGTTCTGACCTACGGGTAGCTAGGCATGCACCAACTTCTTCTAGAACACTTCTTAATTTTACAATTGAATTTTTTTTCATATTCTGTATTTTAGCTCAATATTTCCTCCCTACGAGAAATTCTGTTGTTTTTCCACACACACAAAAAATCATCACAATTTTTTTTTTTTGGTAATCAAAATCATCACTATTTATTTATTAGGGATCCTACTAATTGTCCATTTTCCATTCTCATTTTAATGGATCGAAATTCTCTTGGAAGAAGAAAAATACACAAGAAATTTTCTTTCCATATACGATGTGTCAACTATTAGATCTTCTTTGGTCATAAATGAAAAACAATTTTATTTTTAAATTCTCCGAAATTATTATTACTTCTTATGAGACAATTTACTCACAATTATCTTTTTTTATAATTACATAACTTCGTAAAGTTATATTAGATTTAGCATACATAATTATCTAAATTTAAGCACAAATTAATTGATAAAACAAGGAAACAATTTAATGGGTATAATTGTATTTGCAATATTATATCAGTAACGCTTTTTAAGATAAAGTGCAGACTAGTATCAATTTCTCTTTCCTTTTATTTCTGCTTATTTTATTTTATTTTTCCTTTTTAACGTGTTAAACTGCTTATAACTTACAAATTTATGGGTTTAAAAAAGTTTCACTAAATATCAACTAAATTAATTTAATCCAAACTCATTTCAATTTATTCGGATTGGATGAACTTTGAAATTTAAATGCAACCAATTAATTATTTTCACTGCAGAACTGATTAAATAGAAATAGATGTTTTGTTTTGATCCTAAAATGAATCCAATTCAGTATACCAAGTACCAACGCATGTAATTGTGACTCACTCAACTCAACTCAACCCAGCAATTTATGTTTCTCCTCCTTCATAAAGGTTTCGGTGTCACAAAAGACCACTAGCAATTCCAAGCCGAATTTCATTGCCCCCACACCCACGTACAATTTGGAAGCCACAAACAAATCCACAAATACACCACGTGGTCTTCTCTTGCATGTCTGAGGTGGACCTCCATAAACAACCCCTTCACCGCAAAATTAAAAATAAAAATAAATTTAATAATAACAACACTTCTCTTTCTTTCACCTTCCCCACTCTATTTATAACCATTTTCCCTCTCCCTTTCTCCCCCCAAAACCCCTCTCTTCACTTTCAATTCTCTTTTTCCTTCCTTTCTTTCTTTCTTTCTTTGTCTTCTTGACAAAAACACACCAAAATATCAAAATCAAAATCAAAATCAAAATCTCCATTATCATGGCACCTTCTTCAATAGCATACTACTCTAGTAGTAGTCCTTGGGCTAAACCTCAAATCCCTCACCACCCTTTCTCCTCTTCCTCCTCCTCTTGTTCATCATTAATTGATTTGGGCTTCCCCTCAAAGTCCACCATGGGGTTGAAGAAGAAGCCCATTAGAAAGGTTGATTGTGCTCTACACTCTCCCTCAGTGTTCAATTTCCCAAAACAACCCTACAACAAGAACCCTCTAATTAGGAAAGAAAACACAGACACTCCCAAAAAGCCTCAGTGGAACCCATTCCAAAATGCCGCAGCAAAAGCACTTGACATCTTCGAGAGCGCGTTGCTCTCACGCGAGCTCCAACAACCTCTCCCCAAAACCATGGACCCACGTGTCCAAATCGCCGGAAACTTCGCTCCGGTTCCTGAACAACCCGTCGTCCACTCCCTGCCCGTAACCGGAACAATCCCAGACTGCGTTAACGGCGTTTACCTCCGTAACGGCGCCAACCCAATGTTCCAACCTATTGCAGGGCACCACCTCTTTGACGGCGACGGAATGGTGCACGCCGTCAGCATCAATGACGGCGCCGCTGGCTACGCATGCCGCTTCACCGAAACGGAGAGGCTCGTTCAGGAACGAGAGCTTGGCCGGCCGGTGTTCCCCAAGGCCATCGGAGAGCTTCACGGCCACTCCGGCATCGCAAGGCTCCTCCTCTTCTACGCAAGAGGACTATTCGGCATCGTCGACCACCGCCGCGGCGCCGGAGTGGCCAACGCCGGCCTCGTCTATTTCAACGGCAAGCTCCTCGCCATGTCGGAAGACGACCTCCCCTATGAACTCAGAATCACCAACTCCGGCGACCTTAGAACCATTGGCCGTTACAGCTTCAACGACCAACTCAATTCCACCATGATCGCGCACCCAAAGATCGACCCTGTCTCCGGCGAGCTCTTCGCCTTGAGCTACGACGTCTCCAGGCCTTACCTGAAGTACTTTCACTTCTCGCCGGAAGGAAAAAAGTCGCCGGACGTCGAAATCCGCTTGTCCGTTCCGACGATGACGCACGACTTCGCCATCACGGAGAATTTCGTCGTGATCCCCGATCAGCAGGTTGTGTTCAAGCTCCAAGAGATGATCAAGGGTGGTTCTCCGGTGATCTACGACGGCGAAAAGAAATCGAGGTTCGGCGTTCTTCCCAAGTACGCATCGAACTCATCAAGCATCGTGTGGGTGGAGTCGCCGGACACGTTCTGCTTCCACCTTTGGAACGCGTGGGAAGAACCCGAAACCGACGAGGTGGTGGTTATAGGGTCGTGCATGACGCCGCCGGATTCGATTTTCAACGAGAGCGAGGAGAGTCTAAAGAGCGTGTTATCGGAGATAAGGCTGAACTTGAAGACAGGGGAGTCCACGCGCCGTGCCGTGGTCCCGCAGTTGAACCTGGAAGCGGGGATGGTGAACCGGAACCGGCTCGGGAGGAAGACCCGGTTCGCTTACCTTGCGGTTGCTGAACCGTGGCCAAAGGTTTCGGGTTTCGCAAAGGTGGACCTGTTGAGTGGGGAGGTGAAGAGGCACAGCTACGGTGATAGAAAGTACGGTGGAGAACCCTTCTTCTTGCCGAGAGGAAACTGCTCAGAATATGAAGAAGATGATGGGTACATTATGGTGTTCGTGCATGACGAGATGACGTGGAAATCAGAGCTTCAGATTGTTAACGCCGTCGACATGACGGTGGAAGCCACCGTGGAGCTGCCATCCAGAGTGCCATACGGTTTTCATGGCACTTTTGTGGAAGCTAAGGATTTGGCATTACAAAGAAATGACCAACTACACGTGGACTATTGAGTTGGGTTTGAGTGGGTTTTTTTTTTTTAATTTTAATTAAAGTATTTTATTCTATTCTATAGGGGTATATAAATAAATAAATAATCAAAGAGATAGAAGAAGAAACAGAGAAGTGAGTTAAAGAGTTAAGAAGGAGAAATTGACAGAGGGATGGCAGGGAGACACGTCCCCGGGTTCTCCTGAACCAAGATTTTGTTGGTATCATTTAGGTTATATCTATGTTTATGGCAGTGATGAGTGAGTGTTTCTGGAATCAGCTTGTAGCTTTGGTATCTGTACTTACATGCAGCTCAGCTGGTTTCTGTTTTTTTATTTCTCTTTTTAATTTCAATACTTATATATATTTCTTTATTTTGTGTTTTTATTTACCAGGAATTCTCTTTCTGTTCTGCATTTGGATCATCCTTACTCCTTTGTTGTCTGCACGCCTTGTGTTCTGTCCAAGTATTGTCTGCATTTAATTTGGATCATACTTTTGCTCAGAGCTGGTTTCAATCAATGATGATAAGTTTTTGTGATTAACTTTGCAGACCATTTTTTTTTTTGGTACAACAGACCATCTTATCTTATTCATACTGAAAGTGTGTTAAAAATTAATTTGGATTTGTATTCCAGTTTAGGTCAGTCTAAACAGCTTTTCAGGTAAATTTGGATTCTCTCTGAGCTAAATATGCAAAATCTGCAATTTAATGACAAGACTCTAATCTTTAATAATAATAATAATAATAATAACAAGACTCTAAAATCAAGTGAAAATTGTGAGTGGTTTTAATCTCTTGTACAACATAACGAGTCATTGAACTTTTCAATGACAAATGCAATTTGGGTTTACTTCGTATTCCTTTTTTGAAAAGTGTATATATATATATATATATATATATATATATATATATATGAGATAACATATCCCTCCTACTCATACATTAAAAGGTGTGCTAGCATTTATTTATTTTTTTACTTTTTTTTTAAAAAGTGGGTCCCACATGTTTTGTGTCTATGGCATGAGATAGCAAATCTCATGCAACATGAGACTTGTATTTTCCTATATATATATATATATGCTATTTGACATTTTTACCCCTCATTAATTAATTAATAATCATTTTGCTCCTGATTCAAAATTATCTATCAATATGTCCCTCTTTAATCGATTAACTTGAATATTTAATCGATTAAATAGTTCACTCGAGATTTAATCGATTAAATCTCCCTATTTAATCGAATAAATCTTCATATTGACTTGTTTTCCTTTGTTACCTGTTGGGAGATTTAATCGATTAAATCTCGAGTCAACCATTTTTACCTGTTTTGACCATTTAATCGATTAAATATTTAATTTAATTTATTAAAGAGGAGCAGATTGGTGGATAGTTTTGAATCAGACGCAAAATGGTTATTAATTAATTAATGAGGGGCAAAAGGGTGAAAAAACCTATATATATATATATTGTGTTATATATTTTATATCAAATCTGTAATGAAGTAATAAAAAATATATATTTATAAAAGTTATAAACTTTATTATTTAATTTGTGACTTTTTCATAAATTTATAATTTATAAAACAATTCTTAATAAATGTTTTTCAAATAGTTGTTTAGAATTCAGAATTAAAAAAAATTAAACAAACAATAAAACATTTTCAATTTTTTTTGCAGTCAAAAATTTTAAATTCACAAACAATAAAATCTCTGACCGTTTGTATGGAAAATGCTTTGTTAATAGAGGAAAAATTTACTTCGATGGTCTCTCGAAAGGATTAGTCTTCGGCTGTCGCCTGAGGCCTAAGGGATACCTTGAGGAAACTCACAATACATTATATATTATACTTCTTGAAATTGATAAGCGGGATATGGGCCCGTTTGGATGATTTTTTTTTCTCCAAAAAAAATTTTTCAGAGAAAAAACACTTGTTAGAAAAAGTCTATTTGGATGCATGTTTTTTAAAAAAAAACATAAGTCATAAAAAAAGTCAAAAACCTATTTATTTTTTTGAAGCTAAAAATTTAGCTTCTAAAAAAGGCAAAAGTTAAAAGCCATTTTTTATTTTCAAAAACTAAATATTTTTTTAAAAATCTAAATAGGTTTAGCTTCTGTAAAAAAATTCTAAAATAAACAAGGCATAAAAACTAAAATGCATTTTTCTGAAAGCTCATCCAAACGTACTTATAGTTATCCAATAAAAAAACAATTTTAGAAAAATATGTTTAACAATAATTTTAGAACAAAGTATATATATACAACTAATTTTTTTTTTGGATAAACCATATATATCTTTCACGGAAGGCAATTCTGTTCGGGCGAGGCGGATCCAGAATTAAGACTTTAAACCCCTTCCAAACATGATATTGGGAGGATTGAACACATGCTCTCTCATCCCTACCTATTCAGCTCTCATGCGTCAACTGGGCTAGTATCATTTGGTTTATACAACTATTTTATATTGTATATAATTTGAAACTAAGTATTTTTAATTTTGATTTTATCTTAGTTAAACATTAAATTTTAATTATCATTATAATACATCCTTCCGTTAATTTAAAGCATTGATTCATATCTTTTTATCTTAAGATTGTAGCATTAGTTACTTTTGTTAGTTTTGGAGGAAAAAAGAGTTTTATCTTAAAATTTACAATGCATTTTTTTATTTAAAATTAGGTTAATAATTTAAATTCAATAAGGATAAATAGTTAAGATTCATTCAGTGTTGAAAGGTTGATTTAAAGTTAATCTATGATAATAATAACTGAATTTTTTTAAAAAAGATGAAATTGAATTTAAAATTATTATCTTAAAACATCTAAAATTTAAGGGTTTTATACTTCTCGTGTTATATGAGATGATCTTTTTTATGTCATAGAGACAAAATTATATGTGAGACCCATATATTAAAAAAATCATGTGTGGGATTTATGTTAGTACGGAAATCGAAGGGTGTGTAAAAAAATTTATCTTTTCATATTACATGAGAAGTATAAAACCCAACCAGACACCCATGAAGAGACACATTAGAACACTTGTATGCTTTTAGCCGAAATTTTATTAAAAATGAGAGCGTATGAATTGGTTCAAATTAATATGAAATTATTATCCCACGCTCATTCTATATTTTGCCCCTCATCGGCTCGGTTCGGTGGCTCTATATGAATTTTAGCAGTTTTTCATCCTTCATTTTAAAACTAATACCACTAATCATGTGAACGTTACGATTGATAACTTGAAAATCTGACCAAAGAACTACACGGTCAAAGCCTAGTAAGCCCACATGTTCCGCGACGATATTACATCACCAGAAGGGGACCAATTTACGTCACGCAATGGAATTGTTAACTTTTGTATTATTATATTCAACTCAATTTTACCATGACTATATAAAAATTATTAATGAGCTTGCATTTGAAAGTAAAGTTAAAACTTATTAAAAATATATGAACATATATAGACAAGTTGTATGCAACATACTATGAAGAACATTACGATTCACAATATATTAATATGTGAGTTATACATTTATTTTTATTTTTATTTTTAATTTATCACTTGAATTGCTTCGAATATTAATTGTTTATCTTAATCAACTTATTTTGTGTTAAAAATCTTATAATTAAAATAATGTAACAAGATTTTTTAAGGGAAAATATTTTGTGTGAACTTTAATCTGAAAAAGACACGTTAAATGTAAAAGTTCAATGAAATGAAAAATCACGAAGAATCAGACGTAACAGTGAAATTGTTAACAAGCAACTATGAAACATTTGGAAATATTTAAGCTCAGAGCATAGATACAATAAATGGTCGTGCCCTCACTTCTTCACTTCAGGGAGAAAAAAAGTTAAGGGAGAAAAAATTACCCGTTCTAGAGTCAAGGTAAATACATGTGAATTGGGAAGAAAAAAAATGATTTTATATAATTTCTAGATATTTAGTATAGATATAAGATCCTATTCGGTACATATATAGTATAAGATATGATAATATAAATTTATACTCTATATGTATTCCATTTTTTTTATATATATTTGGTGTGACATACGATCGGATAAAATTATTCAATCTACTTTAGTTTGTTGATCGATAACTCTTCGTAGGATTATTGTGTATTCTCTTCCCGACCGCAATCACTGTCTCACCTTAGTCTCGATCCATTGCTTACCAACGTTGACACTTGACATTGTCATATGAGGCTATCAACTTATCATATATTCTTTTCCAAGAAAAAAAAAAACTTATCATATATTCCTCATCAATTACTTTCGTTATTTGCTTCAAGTTAATTGACGGATAACAAACTTTACTCGTTGTTTGTGTTGTGATTTAGCACTGACTTTTGGGAATTGACTTTTGGATAGTTATTTATGGGATAAATTTTTGTTTTGGAAAATTACAAAATTAAAATGGTACATAAAAAATTCTAAGAATCAGATATATGCAAACAGAGATAGAAACTATCATATAGATTTATTAAAATCGAAGACAAAATTAGCATTTGGTTTCTTATCCTAGGCAAAACTAGAGACGAAAATGCAAAGTCGTATTTATTGGTGTTCCATCTCTAATAGAAATAGATGAAAATTTATTAAAGACATATAGCTTCCATCGGATCAATTTTTCTTAAGTTAGATATTATAGATGAAATGTTAATATTTAGAAACAGATATTTTTTGTGTTTTATATTTAGAGATGTCAACTTTATACATAGAAGTGATTCCGTCTCAATTAGACAGAATCAAATTTTCTTAAGTTAAATATTTTAGATGAAATGTTAATATTTAGAAACATATATTTTTGGTCTTTAATTAAAGATGGATATAAATTTTCATTTTTTTTAAGAGATTTTTCTACTAGTTTGATTAATTGACTAATTTGATCGAGTCAAACAAAGCGAAAAAGGTGGTAAAACTCTCTTACAATTTTTTTTAAATTAATACAATAAATTTTCATCTTTAAATATTTAGACATAGTAACTTTTACATATGAAAGTGATTCCAACCCTAAATTCAT